ATTAATGAAGTTTATTTTAAGTGAATGGCAAACAACTGTCTCTCCTCCAAGACAGACAAATCCAGGCTAGAACATATAGATAGATTGTTAACTGAATCAACCCCCTCCCAGTGAATAATTTACCTCCCAGGAGCTGCTGTGGCAATATGTTCAGAAAGTCTGGGAGAGGGGACACTGCCAGGGCTGGAATCTGCTATTGGCAAAAGAGCAGCTGCAGGTTCTGGTTTAGTACTGTTTTCACTCCATTCAGAGCAATAAAACCAAGTGAAGACACACAGAAAAAGAGATTTTTAATCCACATTAAAATAGTACGCAGAACAGGAAACACTGCGCATGAAAGTGTTAGTATATCGAAAAAAAAGAAAACAAAACAAAACAAAACAACAACAACAAAAAAACCCAAACCAACCAACCAAAAACCCACCAGAATCCCCCCAAAAAACACCAAAAAGACCATGGAGTTTTCAGTAAAATACAATTAGGGGGATAAAATGATGCAAAATACACTTAGGAAGTATCATGCTTTCAGTGAAGGTTGAGAGTGTCCTACTGCTTTTAAACTCAGAAAGCCAAGTAGCATTTTACAGCTTTATATGCTTTTTGCTACAACTTTCTTGGGGTGTTAGTTTCGTGAAGGTTAAACTATATGTTTCTCAGTATTTTTCATATCCTTTCTTTTATTCAGTTGTGATAGGAAAAAAAAAAAATCTAGAAAATGTTGTCTTAAAGCTCTCTACCGGAAGAAAAGCACCTATCAGACATATCACTGTAATACACAAAAATAAAAGTAAACTACAATGTAGAGAGCAATCACAGCAACAAGTTTTGAACAGACTAAATTAGCCACAGGGGCAGGTATTGCCGCCGTGGGCTTTTTTTCTTATATTCGCATGCAGAATCAATTATCTTAATCAAGTAGGGACCCTTAAGTGCTGAAAATTATTGAACACTTAGGAATGACAGGGAGCAGACCTCATAGGTGGTAAAGGTGTGGATGGAAATTCTGGTGTAGGTGGCATCTCCAAAGTCAGGGTAGCTATGGAGTTTTTATTCAAATTAATACAGGTATCCTGGGCTCCTGCTCCATCAGGTAGATCTGCATGTATGCTTTACATATATTTATGACACAGAGGAGAAAAAAATAAATACGTAATTTATGACAGATTGTTTCAGGACTGATCAAGAGCAGGACAAATATTTTCCAGCTACTATGGATTAACTAAACTACAAATCTGGAAAATCCAGACACATCTTCACTCAGGACAATGAATTGACTCTATGGTTTAAGGCCAAAACTAAATCTATACCTGGTTGCTCAAAAGGAGATGGCTAAAAGTGAATATGTAAAACAAATTTGGAAATACGGTGCTGCAGAAATAGAACTAATTAGTTACTAAAACACATAAATAAACTTTATACAAAGGCCAGACACTGCCTTTCTAAGTTTTAAGTAACTGGTTTAAAAGCTGCAATTTACACATTTCAGTGAGGGCTTTCTAATTCTATTTCTTGTCTGTAGTAGTTTACAGTTTAAAAATAAACAATCCACATAGAAAATCTGTCTTGGACAATGCCTGCCTGAAAAGCTGAATATTACTAAATTGGGATATTTTTCTGTAGATTACTGATGAAAGAGAAGTTTCAACTTCATTATCATATTCTTACTGCTAGGAGATTTCTAAAATTTAAGCTTATTCATTTATATCAAAAACCATTCAGAATATTTTTCAAAGATCAGATGTATGCTGGGAAACAGACATGAGCTAGGGCATGTTATTCACATGCAAATGAAAAAGTGGCCCATTGTCTTGGAAACAATAACAGAAAGTCCAAAATTTAACACCAGCAACTGTTGTGCATGGGGATATCGGGTGAAGAAAAGACATCTTTAAAGCAGTAAATGAAATTAATTTCATCATTCATAAAACATTTTTGGAACTAGTGATTTTTTTTTATCATGAATTTATAGAAAACCAATAATTTTAGTAGCCTTTCTCAAACTACTCTCATATCTTCAAAAGATAGGTTTCTATTCTTTGGATTATTTAGAGAGGGTTTTTCTTCTATTTCTCCCTAAAGCAATTCACCTTCGAGGGATAAGAGCTGGTGAGACAGATAAACATAATGGTAAGTTTAATAATGACATGAAAATATTCTCATTACCTAGGGACATCTCCAAAACATAGAAATACTTGAAGGTCAAACCATTCTGCCTTTAAGAAGAAACCTTTACAGAGAGTTTAAGTGATTACCTTTCATAGTTTTCATTGCATTGATGTTCTCTAAAACTCCCATCTGTCTTTCCATTCAAAAAGAAACTATAGAAACCCAGCAAAACAATTTTATACACTACTTCACATTCCTATTTTACTATGTGATATTCTATCAAATGATTATATTGTGCATGTGCACTCAGTAACACACTTGGGTTTAGTAACACAGTACTCACTATCAAGTTATGTGATGCAGGGGGGGACAGAAATCAAACTGATTGGCACTTCTCATCAAGACAGTCTTTAGTGAAATTATTAAAGTGATTATTTTTTCCCACTGTCCCTAAGGAGTTAACCCAAAAGGTGTGTAAGATGTGGTATCCCTTGGTCCATCACTGCCAGGGCAAATATAGTTGTACTTTATGCTGTGCATTGTTAGGCATCCACATTGGTGACTGTTAGTGTTAAATAACTTGGCTATTACCTGAAGTCTCCATTTTCTGTTTGTCTTTTCCTAAAGATAAAATGACAAATACCATAAGCTACTGCCATACTCCATAGCAGCATAAACCCTCTGAAAAGGAAACACAGGTTTAATATGCTTCCAAAGGTCTCTAATCCTTTCAAGTTCCCAAGTTGTGCAATAAAAAACAATCCCCCCAAGTCTGCAGAAGCATCTGTTGACACAACTAATTCTTCCAACAGAAGACCGTGTAGGTCAGCTGCATAAACACCAAACCAATTGCAATGGTTCTCATTGAGCAATTCTGAAAGACTGGGCTTTTATATGTGCTTTACAATTCACCTTTGAGGTCTGAAACATTAGCCGGTTCAATAAACGCTGCAAAAGCCAAAAGAGAGTTTTATTTAGAAGAATTCTTACTCCTGTAGCCCCCCAAATGGGTCAATAATTTTATTGATTTCTGCAAATCTCATGTTGATTTTGACAACACAAACACATACCCCATTTTTAACACGATCAGGAACTCTAATCCTGTGACAGTTTTATACAATTCAGATTGTTTCTAATATGCAGCAGGGATTTAATTTTTTGTCTTCCTATAACCTGTGAAGGTGTAATGAAATTTCAGCTCCATGCACGAGAAGACTATCCAAGGAGTCCAAGAGACTCAAAAGAAAAACAGACAGAGCTAAGATAAAAGCAACTTTTATTAAAATACTCTTCAAGCTTCAGAAAGCATAAATTAATGAATGTGTAGCTACTATAATACATTATTTTACAGGAGAACCATAGGGCTGTGAAGCTTTTATAAACACAAGAAAGCCTATAAGCTTCACTCTATAATAAATAAATACTACTGTCTTATCTTGTGTTGAAGCTCTTACAGGTACACACAGCAACATTCTGCTCAATTATTCTTTTTTAAAGTTTTCCAAAACATGAATATATTACTAGTCTAAGCAGCAGAATCCTTATATTGAGCTTTCACTTCAATTCACAACATTGGAATATATTTTTTTAATTTATTTTTTCTTTGCTTAAAAGCAGTCTGTCTTCTTGCTGTACTTTGTAAAACATTTACAACCACTCTAAAATTGACCCACTAGTCAAATCCAAAATAATTGTCCTGGTAAGTATGACAGTTTGAAATAAGTGCATACAGTTCCTCTTCATCTTCTTCCCCCAGCCCCAAAATCAAGGTAATACAATTTATTATTCTTTTGTTTAAAATTTTCTGCTTTCTAACAGCCTACAGTAACTGAAACTCAGCAATGCAAATGACTCCTTTCAGGCAAAAAAAAAAAAAAAACAACAAACTGAAACAGCCATCTCCTCCCCCATGTTGGAAGATTCAGCCACCCAAGTTGTTCTGTTTTAAATATGTATTTTTTGTCAACTAATGATTAGCACAAAAACATTTTCATCCCATTTTTTACACGTCAGTAGGAAAGTGTTAGAAAAGTATAGAAAAGGCTAGAATTTCTCTCGCAGAAAGGCTAGTGAAATAAGTTTTCTTTTTTCTCTCTTTTTTTTTTTTTTTTTTTGCAAAGCAGATGGAAAAGAAGAAAGGAAGGAAGTGTTTGTGTTTTGCTTTTGCAACTTGGGTAAGATCACTGGACATTTAGAACACGTGCTGAGACTTCATGGTGCCAGTCACGTAATTTTGTATATTTGGGGCTAATGACGTGGCTGTGAACCTTTTCCCTGTGGAAAGAAGTGATAGAAGAAAAATAAGAAAGAAAGAAAGATTGTCTCAAGCAGTTTCACAAGTGAGCATGCAAACTCCATGCACTATTCCTATCACTTTGTTTTCCTCTCTGTCAAAAAGTTGGATCCAGTGTTAGTCAAAGTCTCATCGACTTTAAGAGCGATTAGATTTAGCCACTGATTGGTGCTCATTTTGAATAACACTTATTCCAAAGCAAGGAGACAGGTGACCCTCATTTGCAGTCCACAACGACAGTATTTTCCAGCTATGCCTTGCAATCTGATGAACACTCACAAATCAAAAACGCCTGGTTAGACTCAGGAAAAGGAAAACACATCAACAAGCTGACCTCATACAGATAACCAAATCAGTCCAAGCTTACAGAAAATCTCTGCACAAACTCCTGCACAAACTTCACTACTGGACTGCACCAACAGATTTAAAAAGGTTTGTCTATGGAGAAAAAGATCTTGGTTTTTACATGCTGAAGTAAAAGGCAAAAAAGAAGCAATATTTTAAAAACATCCAGATGTCACACAAATGCACCAAACACTACAAGTTAAGAATTAAGACATGCAAAGTATTAAAGTAATAAAAATGTAAAACATCAACTCACTTAGTCTTCTTTGCAGCTTCATTTTCTGGTTCTTTCACTGAAAGAAAACAGAAAATTTTTATTTTCTAAGGCACTAAATACACTGTACTACCACACTGAGATTCTCTCCTGTACCAATACATTCACCATAGGAAATTACAACAACACTTGTTAGGACTCTTTGATTCTAAATATGCCTCAATGAACATGAGTTATGTCTAAAACTTCAAGAGCCCCTTTCATAGTAGAATTGCTGAAAAGTGGCTCTGCTGGTCTCTGCCCTTTCCCTTGGCCCACTCTCTATGCTGGTGTCAAGAAAGGTGATTTGAGAAGGTGAAGATGAATGGAAGTTGAGAGGCATTTCTTTTGGACAAACATCCAGTGGGTTTATATCAGGTGATAATCTAAGCATCTGTTTGCAGTTCAGCTATAACCCATCAAGTTTCTAGAGGTCTGCACAAGGAATAATGTAAATTCCCAGCCCTGATTTAAAGACTGGCAAATCTAGTTGCAGTTATTTTTTAGAGCATTTGTAAACATGATAAATTTCTCTGTACTGGATAACGTTATTTGATGTTCGGGTCCATACTCTGCCTTTACAAGGACCGATGAAGAGAATGGAACATAGATAATGATGTATTAATAGACTAGCACAACACAGTGCTAGAACAAAACAATCAGAAAACTGTCCAAATTCAGACTATTTATCACACATGGACAAGAATCTGTATCTGGGGACATGTTATCACTGGTTTCTAGAGACAGTGGATTTAATAAAATCTGCCCCAGAGAAGGGGTCCAATTTCCTCAATGCCGCCTTTATTACAGCATTAACTGTGAAAAGCAGCATAATGAAATAATCACAAATCTCATCCAGTGAATTATAGCTGACAGCATAACATGAAACTGAAGTTCTACAATAAAATTATATGACTGGGAATGACCTTCTCCACATCACCTGTTCCAGTACACCAATGCATGTAATCACACTAGCATAAGGAGAGGATGGAAACATAACCTGGAGATTAACTGAGGAACTATGGGTTTGTGTTTCTGACTGGTTAAATCATTGCATTTCACATACTTTTATATGCCTGACAAAGACTTTATACATGCCAGAAAACAATTTTTTTAAGCATAAAATTTGAACAGGAATGTTGCCGTTTTGATAATACAGGGGGGAAAAGAAACAACAAATACATATCTGTCAACATCTTTAGGAGTAGAAATGGAAATTTTAAGATTTACTTAGAATATATTAATTCAAATTAATCAGGAATAGTGTCCAGTAATGTATATATCCTGAGCTATTTAGCGATCACAGGAGTTTTACAATAATATTTTCCTTTTAATACCTCCCCTCACCCCCAGCTTTTAAATGCTTATCTGTCCAAGATCGTTAACTTCTATTTCATTTAAACCAAGCCACTCACTATGATCGGTGCCCGTGATCTGGGCGAGGATGCGGAAGGAGCGGGACTGGGTGGTGCCTGTCCGGGGATGCCAGTCTTCCGTGTCTTCAATCAGGCGCTTCTTGCTGGCATCGCTGTGGGTGGGGGTGTGGTAAAACTCCGTGTAGGTATCCACGATGTGCTTCCGTGGGGGGCTGCGTCAAGCAGAAGAGACAGCGGTGAGTGAAAAGGTTCAGAGACCACCTGGGTTTGGGTAGCTACAAAGACACGGGCAGAACTATGACTTTTCACAGCATTTAAAGGCACCTTCTGTGTTTAAAGGCCGAAGTGTAGCAGTTCGGACCCGTCTGAACACAGATTCAGTTCTCTGAACTGAACACAGCTTTATAATCACTCCAAGCCAACTGAAATATGTTTCACTGATGGAACATTTGAAACAGTAAAAGACAGCATTATCGAGACATTTACATGTTTAAACTTTTACCGTTTTGGTGGGTTTTTCCTTGGAGATGACAGAGTAAGACAGCAAGAGAAAGTTTTCCACCATAAACAGGAAAAGCAGAAAAAGAAAACATGAAATAAAGTCAGAAAGGTGAAACAGAAGTGCAGCTAATTGTTTTATTGAATTAATTTTGAGAGAAAGGGGAATTAAAATCCAATTAATAGTGATATTCTCATTCTACCACTAAAACCACAGAACTCCCATACTTAAATTAAACTCACAGGGATTTCCTTACAGGGATGAGAGGGGAGTTTGCCTCGGCAAAGCAGGGTAGTCTGCCTTGGTCAGATCAGGTGCCCCTTGGCTCACAAGAGGCAAAGCACAGCTATGTGCATGTGCAAGGGTCACACAGTACACACCAAGTCTTTTGCACTTAGCAAAGCCTGGATCAGAACCAGGCCATTTGAAAGCATAATGAGCACAATAAGGAGATACCCTCTTTGAAGGACAATAAAGTAGGGTGATTGTTTCACCTGGAAATTTTCCCTACAATAATCTACATGCTATTATCTATCCCTGTACTAGCAGACTTGCAAGAACACAGGATTTTAAAGCTTTGGTTCCAGTAAGTGATACAAATAACACGTAATGGCACTGATCAGTTTAGGAAAGGGAACAGAAGATTCAAACTATATAAGTTACTCCTAAATTCTACATTTGTTATTCCAAAGTATTCATCTTTAAGACCCTCTAAGTGTACATTTACTTTTATATAACTTACAGGAGAAAAGCTGCCCAAAACTAGCTCCTAAAACATAAAACTTTCAATAATTATTAAAAACCAAAACTCAACAGAATGTTAAAAGCCTCTTTTATTTTTGCTGCTACTTCCTCACTGTACTTTTAATGTCCAAACTATTTCTGGTGAAGAAAGGTGGAAAATATGAGTGAAAATTATGTTAACTGTTAACAAGTTAACTGTTAACAAGTAAGAATTAGTCCCACTCAACGGAATGCATTAGTAAATACTTACAAGAATGCTTAATACTTGAAAGAATGTGGAAGATATGATACAAGATTATATCAAGACATTGAATTTATTGAAACACAGCATAATTGAGGTACATGTATCACACATCAAAGTTCCCATCAGAGAGAGGTACAGAAAAAAAGACAGTCCAGGATGGCGAACAAAAAGTACATAGAAAAATTAAGTAAAGCATCTAAAGAGTTAATAGCAAAAAATAAAATCTAAAAATTAAAACAGTAGTTAAAGGTGTGGAAATACATGAAAATATAATTATTTACATGCAGTTTACTGCATTCTAGCAACTACCTCAGTGAAATAAGTAGTCTTTCACATTTGTTGAAAGTGGTATAAAGGAAAAATCCTGCTGACTTCTCTTGTGAATCCTACTGGTCCCTCATTAAGGCTTAAGAGTCTACTAGTAATTACTTACTGAGGCAACAAGGTGGTGCCAGAGACAAAGGAAAATTCAATGAGACAGGCTCTCCCTTAGCTCAGCCTTGAGGCAAGGGGGGAAAGGTCAATAAAACCTTAATCATTTAACATCCTGATATGCAAAAATCACAGTATATGGATGCTGGGTTTATTTTTCCTGTATGAATTCAGAATCCAGCCCTTCATTCTACCGTTCTCAAAGCAATGTTATGTTTATACTGTATTTCACCATTTACTAGTTGTATTACCAACACCAATGAACCATAAATGCACCAAGAATACGCAAACACCACACAAACGTTTTGTAGAATAAAAATAAGCTGCAAAATGTAGCACAGTGAAAAGCAAAATCACATCATGTCCAATGCAGACAAAATAATCTACTACACTAAGAAAAGCTGAAGCTGTTTTGCAAAATTTAAATATAAAACTCTGTAAGAGCTATAATTTTGCAAAACAAGAATACATGCTGGTTATTCCAACAGGAAAAATGACCATAATTCAAGTCCAGTGCTGTTGATACTAACTTTTTCGCTGCTGTTATCTGCAAGGGAAAAAAAGTATTTGCTGTGTTAATTCATTCTCTGCTTCTCAAAATACTACAGGAGTTTCCAAATCCAAGCTCTGGTAAAGCCATATATCACATAAGTCAAACTTACAATCATCAAGAGAATCTACAAGGGAAAATTTTAACCTACCTGCACTTAAAATGAGTGAAGTCTATGAACACCTTACCTGTTTTAAGCAGCAGGCACATCTTAATGCAAGAGTCAGCAAGAAGGTCTTGGTAAAAATGCAATTGCACAGCCCAGTGAAGGCAAATTGCTTGCTTTCTAAGCCAGGACTAAACAAGGGAAACAAAACTTCCCTTCCCATCCTGAAGTTAAATAGTTTATATCCTGAATGTGGTTTGAGGGAAGCCAAAGGAAAGGAGGAAACTGTGAGTACAACAAGGTGCTTGTCTGAAGAACGGCATTTGCTCAGCATTGCCATCTATGAACAAGATACAAATTGCTTTTTTTGTTTGTTTGTTTTGAGGAAATGTATCATGCAAAACACAGAAGCAAAATGGAATTTATTTCAGACTTCAGTGTTTCTGATATTTCATAGATGCCATTGATACAATTTTAAATGGGGAGACAGTTTAACATCGCTGTAGAAATTTATTTTTTCTGTATAAAATAGAGTAGTGTAGCAGTAGACTAATGCAATCATCTTAGTCGCTTTTGTCTGCTTGTTTTTGTTTTATGCCTTAGGACTGCAAGACAGTTAGACAGCTCAAACACACTATTATAAGAAAGATTGTAAAGTAAAGTAGGTTTTTACAGCTCTAAAATGTTTTCAAGTTTTGCCAAACTAAATCTGCAAGGCTGACAGTGAGACAGGGATTTCTTCACCTCTCCGCTGTGATTATTCATCCTCTTTGTAGGTATTATTCATCCTCTAAGTAAGGTAGGGCACATATTAGTGCTTACCCAGTCATCCTATCTTGGTTGTCAAATGCTTACTCTATGCCTGCAGCACTTCCTTTCAGGAGGCCTACTTTTGTTGCTATTGTTCCTCTTTTTTAGTACTAATTGCTGGTTTTGAATACTCCTTACACAGTTATTTGTTAAAACACTATTCCTGGAAAGATAAGAGTCAGTTTGCTAAAGTGTATTCAACAATTCTACCAGCATTGAGCAAGTCCTTGGAATCTCCTGATTTCATACTTCATTCACTTCATACTTTCACTCACTTCTATGCAGAGTGGATTCCTGCCACCAGCTGTTTAAGAAAGGGCTGGAAGTTACCATGACTACAGTGTGATATAAAATGCATATGGACTGCATTTTATGAGTCCACATATGGAAAATATTCATATTAAAATATAAAGGGAATAGGTACCTGAAGAAGTTTAGCAGCTCAACTGAAACTGCAATTTATCCATTATTTTAGTTGACATGGATGTTTACCTTTATGTAGGTAAACATAAAGGACAGAGGCACAAGGCCTACTCTTCCAGCCTCTTTCATTTGCGGGATGGCAAATAGTAACCTTTTAGGTTTTTAGCCCAGGTTTTAAATCATTAAGGCTGCAGAGAAAACTACAGCTCCTCTCCTGCCCTTTTTATTATGTAATTCAACCTGCTGGACACTGCTGCTGGGAACAGAGGCCAGCTGGCATGAGACTGCTTGTGCTCAGCCTCCTTCTCTTCCCACAGCACAGCAGCCACTGGGATCCAGTCTCTGAGGTGCTGCAGCACCCAAACCCTGCCCTGGAATTTCTGGGAGAGATGAAGGCATCCCCAGCCAAAAACCTTACTGCAGGTTTGAGTTCCTAGGACTGCTGCTGAGCCCAATTTAACTTACTAATCTATTGTTTATTAGCCTATATGTTATGCCAGATATAATATAAGCCTTTCATGCTCGCTTACAGTTCCTTGAATGTTCAGTCTCCAATATCCACTTTAACATACACGATTATTTTTAAGATGCATTCAAGGATGTTGTCAGGGTTGAGTAGATTTTTTGCAGTGCTATAATGTAAATACCTCAACTTTAAATTTTACCTTTACCTTTAAAAAGCAGTGCAGATTTAAAATTTGATTAATTTCCATATTCAAAGTTTCCCCACTGTTGTGCAGAGAAGTAATAAGACATCTGTCCCTTTGCCTCCCTTCTGGGACCTTTTTCCACCTTTTCTGCCAGGGCCACAGTTGGTCTTTCAGAGCATCTAATTCCCAGCCATCCCAGTACCCACTGACACTTCTTGACAGACTGCTCTGCATTTTTAAGTGCCGGCTGCTTTCAGTCACTGTATTGGGCGTCAAAATACACAGTGAGACATGGACATTGAAATTAATACCAGGCTTGCTCTAAGGTCCAGAACACATTGTGTAAAGCATTTTGTGGTCCTTGTTCAGTTTAGCCGTGACACTCTGTAAACTGATATATCACTCATGAGAAAAATCATCACCAGAAGTCTGGCTTGGCCCTCCGAAGCATCTCTTTTAAAATGCAAGTTCCTTCTGAGAGATTTGCTTCCAGCAGTTAAATGACTTCTCCAAGTCGTGTTTTACTCAGCCCTTAAACAAGCCCAGCTTTTTTCCTGTGAGGAGAGACCCTCACAGCAAAAAAAAAAATCCCACCTACCCATTTTGCTGTTTACTCTCCCCCTGGTTTTCTCTGAATCCTCGTCGTGGCCCCTCGGCTACATCCTGGGCGCCGTCGCCGGCAGAGGCGCTCGGGGCGGCATTTTGCGCGGCGGGCTGCCGTGGGACATTAACTGCAGGTTTAGCAGCGCTCGGCACAGGCGACCGCTGCTCAGGGTTAGGCTTGGTGTGAACATGCAGTCCGGGCGCGGCAAACGGGGCTGGGGCGGCAGCCGTCAGCGACGGAGCCGACGCCTGGGCCGGGGTGAATGCGGAGGACGGTGATGGGATGGAGGTGACTTTGGAGGAGGTTACAGCTCCAAACGGCCTCGGTGTCTTATTGTAAGCCACGCTCGCTGTGGCAGTGACTTTGGGTGCAACAGCAGAGGCAATGGGCACAGGCTTAACTACTTCAGTAGGTTCTCCCTATGTGAGATGAAAAACAAAAAAAAGAAACACACAAAACCACGCCAAACGCATGCACATTCCTCAGCAGGGATTTTCACTGTTCTCAGAGGAGATAACCCACCTAGCGTGAAAAAGGGAAGCAGAGAAGCAAGCTTTATCAAGACTGAAGCCATAAAATGTATGGAAAAACAATCCAAGCCATGCATTTTAGGAAAGGAAACGATCCAAACGCACACAATCAATATGAAATTCTGCGATGCTGACCCCTCTCATCATGTCCAAACCAGACACCCCACAAATCAAATTCAAGAGAAACTGAAAAACCTCTCTATTGCAAAACCCAGTGGGTAACTCATGTGGAAAAAAACTACTGTTTTTTATAAAAATCCATATTCCATCTCTCAAACCCAATTTGAGATATCCACGTTCCCCATACACGAATGGACTGTGCATGTGTACACACACACTGTACATATTGGTCTGTTGGTAAGATCCTTAAGAAAAGAACTAGAGCACATCGGTGTTCCCCAATGTCTCCATATACCTTTGTCAGATTAATATATTCAAAAAATGAGGGTTTGGTTTCTGTGGTTTTTTTGTGCTGGGATCCACGTTTTAAAATTGTGGTTCCCAAACTGTGGCCTTTCAAGTCACAGTCAGCAGAACAGTAATATCTACACATTATTTATGGTCAGAGGAGAGGATTTTAAAGTACAGGCCATTTATAAGTATTTTCAAGTTTGCAAACAGCTTTCTTATCAAAAAGGGAGGTTTGAAACTGTTGCATAAAACAAAACATTAGAAGAACTCAAGAACAAATAATTCTCCAGGGCTTTAAGGAAAGTGAGGGGACTTGTTCTCTGGAACTGTAGTATTTGGATAAGTTTCTTTCAAATACAAAGAAAGATCTTAGCGTCCATTAAAACAAACAAATCCCCAAAAACAAAGAAAAGAAATCACCACCAAAATAAAGCCTACTCTGTTTCTCTCTTAGGTACAGAGGGAAAACATCAGAAATATCTTCCTAAAACAAATTTTCTGAGAGTTGGAAGATAACATTTTTTCACTCTTTTTTGGTTTTTTTGGATAATCATTTGCCAGGTCTTTCCATTTTCTTTAGGAGCAGAAAAAAAAGGTAACCACTCAAAGATCCAAATGCTGTAATACTCTTAATATAACACATGGAAAACAAGCATGTTATACTAAAAGGAAAGTTTAAATGACAGTGCTTATCAATAACAGAGTTGGATAGATGGATATCAGTTAGTGCCACATGCAACATTTCTTCATTGTGAGGATGAACATACCTTTGGCACATTAATAAGATCAGGTTTTTGTACAGAAGCCACTCTGGAAGAGGAAAAACAAACATTATTGTAAAACCCAAATTCTTTAATGTTTAAGCATTTCCCTGTTCCACCTCACCACGTCCATCCACAGATAAACAAAATATTTAATTTTATTTCCTCTAAAGGAACAATTCAGGTTAAACCTAGAATACTGTTGTTCACACAAGGAAAAGGGAAAACAAAACTGAATTAATTTGTCCAGATACAACGTTAAGAACTCTGGCATCTATCATCAAGTACTATTTGATTTATAAATTCATAATTCTCTATCACCAGTTAGGAGACTTCAGCTCCAATTTGCTTGCTATTTTCTACCCTTTCACAAGAAACTCTGTCAAATAACTCAAAAGCTCAGGTCAGATAAACTGCATTTTAAATAGTACATAACCTATATACAGGGTTGAAAAAGAAAGCTTCCTTTTAGAACAAAAAAAAACCCTTCTGAGGAACTTAGCAAGTTAAATAATACAAACTTTTTGCACCATCTTTGGTTTTCAAAAGTAAGGTTAATGTCACTTGAACTCTACAGTAGATGGCAAAAAAAATTTTCCCAAACAATGGGCACATTGAAACTACTATGGGGTGGTGGGAAGGAAAGGAAGCATCACAATGGAAATGATTAAGTAGATAAAGAGTTGATAGATTTTGTTACACCTGAAGTGAAACGGCAGTGTGTTACAGGTAAAAGACATCTTACTTGTTCGAGCTTTTTTTGGATTTGAGTATACTTGTATGCAAAAATACACATGCACACATTAAATTAAAAATATGTATTAAAAATACAGCAAAAAATATGATACATTAATGTTTTGCTTGAAAACATTGCTGCTGATACACTTGAGTGTTTTCATGCTGTTCTGATAAAAAGTGGGTTCTCAACACATTTCAAAACATTTCTGGCCATATTTGGTGGCTGCTCAGAGAAGCAGTCACCCTTAATGATCCAAGAACCACCAATCGTATCCTGCCTGAAATCACACAACCCCTGATTTCCAATATGGCTTTTGAACAACTGAAAAACTGTAGCTGGATTCTGATTTCCAAAATATAATTTGCTAGGGAGGTAAAAAGGTTCACTTAATTGGACATCAGCTAACAGAGGCTACAATTTTAAAAACATTTCTATTATATAAACCAGCTTTTCAATTTTTACCAGGAGAACATGGAGAGCTAGTATTAGGCACACTTGTTACCTTTAACCACTCTGTTTTTTAATTTTCCATTTTATCCTCTTTATTTTTTTTTCCTCTTCTTTTTACTATTTTGTTCACAATATTTACTCCTTTCCTGAGAGTCACTTGGCCCTCAGTGATCATCAGATTCCAGCAACAGGAATCCTGCTGCAGGTTCAGTGGCTAACTTACAAAAAGCAAAATACATATAATCCAGATGCTATGTTGGCAGGGGAAAAAAAAAGGAAAAAATGCATAGCAGGAGAAGATCATCTTCTGCACTTTGGCTTCACCACTTGTGCATTGCTGCTGACACACATTCTGTCCACATCAACAGCAATTCTCAACAGAGAGAGGGTTTTGTCTGCTCTGGGGAACAGAGCCATTCTCTCCTTTCCCACAGAGCGTGCAGCCTATGAAAAGCCTGACCTCCAGCCCACCACAGCACTGGGGTGCATCATTAATCACTCCTAATTGCAGAGTTGTCAATTTGCAGCAACAAAAGCAACAAGGAGGAAAAAAAATACCAATACATATGGAAACTTTTCTTTCCTTTTTAAGACCAGAGTTAGAAGGAAATGTGCATCTGGCTTCATATCTTACATATACTTTTTTTTTCAATAAAGTAACTTGAAATGTTTTATGTATTAATTAAGCTGATCCAACAGGAAGATGTAGGAACATATTTATTATTCAAGCCAACTACCATATTTCACACTTGAGAAAAAAAAGCTTCTCTTTGCTAATACTGGACCTTGACTTTCGGTCTCATAAAAGGAACATACTTAATTTTTTCCTGTTTTTACAAAATAATCAAATTTGAGTTTGCAATGGATGAGATTGCTCTGCATTCATCAGTACAGCACTGAGCAAAAATTATTTTAAACCATTATTACCGGATGACCTGAAAACATACTTTTCAAAATTCATCTTCAAAAATGTCATACAAAAAGAAAAAGAAGGAAAGGGTGAAAAAAAGACTAGATAATCAAAATGTTCAAAATGTTCCTTTTAAACAGTGGAGGCAGACAACATAATGTTACTTTATTTCCCTCGCAAACATACTTGAAACAAGGACATAAATTTGTGTGCCCCAGACATACTTCAAGCAGTTTAACTTGGCCTGGTTGACTTCAGACCATAATCAGACTAAAATCTGTGATTTATCCTGTATTGTAAAAAGAAAATGCTCACCCAGCAAACTGAGCCACTAAGATCATAATGTGAAAAATGCACAGTGGTTAGACAAGACAGTACAAAAGGAAATGCACACTTCAAGCTGAAAAGCAAAACACATCCAACACACACATTTAAGAAAATTCCTTCTTCGGGGCTATTTCCTTTATGATTTTCATAGATACCACCAAATTGCATAGCCAAAAAATAATTAAACTGCAGAATCTTTTACATTTTGTAGCTGTTAGCACTTTATTTGCCACCTAGCAATTAAACATACTAGGATTTCATGCTGCTTTGGTCCCATTGAACGTATGAATAACTGATCGTAAAGGTTTTCCGAATGAGATGACACACTTGCCCTGTTACTACTTACTAAAAAAAGCAGTATAGCTTGAAGCATGATATTTTCTGAATGATTTAAAACTAGCAGTTCAGCATACTAGTTTATGCAATATTTTCAATAACATACAAACAAAGCAAAGACATAAAAGCTCAGTATAAAGGCTTATTATAAACAACTCACACAAAAGACCTTGGCAAATGGTTACAGTATCAACCTTCATAGGAATTATTATAAACAATAAAACCAGAAGCAGCAGCCATCACTTACTAACATACTAATATTGAAAATAAAAGTGCACAAATTTTTTGCACAGGCTTCTACATCAAAGTCATTTATTCTTTCTGTGGAGGGGGTGGAGGGGGCAAAGCTATATTTAGCTTGTGTAAACAGGTCATTTCAACCAAACATGATAAAATTTGCTGTCTAAACATACCACAAGCTGTTCCTCTCTGATGAATACTTTCATGACATTTAATGCAATTCAAAACATTCCAACTTCCAGCACAGCCTTATTAGGAAAATGAATTAGTCCACTCTTCACTGTAAGCAATATGCCCAGCAATAACTATTCATTCTTTAAATTCTCCTATTATTCATTCACTTTCCAAGTATTTCTCCCATTAAAAAAAAAAAAAAGACAAGCAATTTGACAGAACCCTTCTGTAATTACTAAAGCTAAAGCTACAGTTCTTCATGCTTCAGCAGGGAGTACACCATCTGCAGAGACTGATCATCAATGAAAACTCTGTTATCTTCATAATTAGCATTATGGAAGCAAGCTCAATGCAAGGAAGGACTTTTTTTTGACAAATCTCAGCTGTCCTGTGTGTATAATCACAGAACAGAGGCCCAAATCCTCAGCCAGTAAATCCCTACATCTTCATTGAACCTAAAATCCAAAAGACATTTCAGAGTTGTCTCTTTTCTGAACTGCATTAAAAGCCCCATCATCCCCTGTCCTTCTGCTCCTAAGTCAAGGGACTATTATCTATTCATAACTTAAAAGACTGATGCAAAAATCAATGAGAAATTCACAAGAAGGTAACTGTGCTTATATAAACTCCTCTATAAACAAGGGGAGCACACAATACTGGTATTAACAGAGATATTGTGCGGTTTTCACATCTCTGTAACTTGAAGAATTGCCTAAACTGGTGTGAGATACAAGAAGCTGCAACACCTTCATTGAATTATAGACTCATCTAAGTTGGAAAAGATCTTAAAGATTGAGCCCAACCATAAACCTAATACTGCCAAGTCCACCAAATGAAGCCAAAGCTGAAAAATTTTCCACAAAACTTTATTTGTTGTTCTGAACTGAACCTTTCTAACAGAAGGATGGAAGAAAGGAAGGATTCCCTTCCCATCCCCTGTCCCGTCCCTCTCATTTCAAAACTAACTCCTTTTTCCTAACTGATCAATCATCAGAACACAGGTTTTGGCAAGCAGATGCTACACCCCTGAAAAGCCACTGGTCACATCTTCCTTCCAAAAACCTGATCTTTTAGCGGTTTTGCCATTGTAGTCTGCAGTTCTGTTGGTTAGCTTCATTTTATTTCTGGAGAACACTCAGTAGACAGGGCAGGAAGCTAAATAAATTTGCCTTTCATAAATTAGCCAATTCATGGAATAAAGATGACAAGCAGAAGACATTTAACATATATAACAAGTCATGACTTTCACTAGGGGTTATCTGAATAATAATAAATGTAGACATAATTTAAAGCACAGAAAAAAGAATAATCAAAATATATGTATTTTTTTCCTTAAACACAAGCCCCTTCTTTATCACAGACATAATTAATTTCTTACCAACCTTGCTCTGACTCACAACAATAGAAAAACAAGAACATTGTTAAGCTTGCTTCTTATTGCAATTTATACAGCATCCAAAATGGTTTCCTTACACACACTAATATAACATACAACTGCATTTCCCACAGTTTTGTAGAAAGACACACTGCCCCGGGCAACACCAGTCGGTAAATCAGCACTTCAGCAATCTTGCCAGGACACGCATCTGCAGCCTTGAGATTGCAAACCTGTCCACATCCCAACACATGGAAAAGTGGAGGTAGCAAAATTATCATTAAGTATGACTCAATGAAAATTGGAACCTGTTGCAGCCATTGCAAAAAAAAAGAGATGACTTTTTTTTTCTGCCTAAAGAGATGCAACAATGTTTTCAAATCTCCAGTCTGTCATCATACTTACTAACATCTCAACAGATGGCTGTCAACATTTTATTTCATCAGTCATTCTCTTTTTTCTAGTTTATTATTTTAGTTTACTTTTTGTTGAACATAC